TTTTTTTTAATGCGATCTATACTGAAATAAGTCTCCACACTCAACCCTACAGTCCGTTGTAGCTGTAGACTTGCAAGCATCGTGCTGGAAAATATACTACTTTGGTGTTTTTCAACACTAATTATTTGTTAATTGAAACATAAATAGTGCACACTGCAAATATCGCCAAAGATTCGAATTACCCCAATAAACAAACGAATACAATAAGAAGAATATGTTAAAATATGCTCGCAGAGAATCTAGCAAAATCTACTATAAGCAGCTTTGCAGGGAACAGTGAGTTAAGGTGGCAAAGTGCTGGAAAATAGTTCGAATTTCCACCAAATAAAAATGTGAGCGAACAATCGATTGTTCGCTTGTTCTGCCTTGCCATCTCTAGTGTCAATGTGTTATGTGTAAATATGCATGTGTGTGTGAGTGTGTGTGTTCATCTGCTTAAAGTATGATTGCAAGTGTGAAAATATATATGCTAAACGTGCCCGCCCCGTTGCGCTCCATGCGTTTTTTGTTTTATGACGCGGCGACGTGCTCGGAAAATGAAAAGCACTTGACTCGCCAAAGTGCTGAACTTGGCGGTCTGCAACCCAACCTCAACCCCAGCCCTCCCCTCCCCTCCCCACCCCTCATACAGCCACCCCCGCCTTACAATCGTGCCACACACATGCCAAATCGTAAAACGTTTCGTCTCTTTTTTTTACCAGCGTGCAATTTCTTGGGGAACAAAAAATAATACTGATTTTGGTAGACATGTGATGTGTTGTGCTAGGCCGGAGTTCAAGTGGAAAATGTATGCTCTATTAATTTTTAGCTTCAGGTTCTTCGAAAACAGCTTGCATAATTGTAATGAAAAACTGCATATATGTACATGACTTATTGTTCTGATGGAGACTTTTACGTTTAAAAAAAAAAAATATTGAAAAATTGCATACGTCCTGTACTTCTTATTAAAGCACTCCATTTTTACCTTAATTGCTTTAAATAAGACATACATATATTAGAAGATGAAAATGGGAGTATAGAAGAAATTGATATCCCTTTTGATATAATTCGTTATTTTTCAAAAATATCTATATTTTAATATTTGTAGTGTTATGTGTAGGGTATTTCGCATTCACTTATGATGTACCTTTATCGAGAATATTTTTAAACTTGTATGTAGGGTATTTCGAGTTCGCTTAGGCAGAACCTTTACCTAGACTTAATTTTATCCTTTATGTAGGATATTTCGCATTCGGTTTTGCTGAATCTTTATCTAGACTACTTTTAGTCTTTTATGTAGGGTATTTCGCATTCGAATATGCTGTACCTTTTAGTTCTTGTGCACGCCTGTATGTGATATTTTCTCGCCTCTATTCTTTTCTCATTTGTTCGAACCATTTAAGAAATTGTCGCCGGGCCGATGTCTAACTTTATGTGCCACTCTACAGCGAGGCTCTAAATTTTATAGAGTAAATAAAGTATGATTGGGTGTTGTGTGTGTGTGTGTGTGTGAGTGTATGTTTCTGTTGTAAGTTTCGCCTTTGTGGTTTATAAAAATTGAACACTCTATTTGCTTGCTGTGCGCTTTGAGTTAATTTCATTTGATTTATGCGATTTTCGCTAGCTGAAGCTGCAGCTGGAGCTGGAGCTGCTGTCGTAGCTGGAGTTAAGCCCGTTGTTAAACGTGAGTAAACGTATATCTGCTGTTGTTGCTGCGGTCAATAAATTACCCGCTGTGCAGAGGCTTTTCGCATTGTTCCTTTACATATTTGAAGTGCACTTTATGCTTTTTGCATACACAATTCGCAATTAATTTAAAACAATTATGTTGGCGCCATGCAAAAAGAAATATTCAAATAAAAACAACAACAATAACAAACAACAAAAAAATCCCCTCTGCGGTGAAATGACATGTCGCCTGTCAACCGCACATTTTCAGTTCGAGTGTTATGCAATTATGGTAAAGCATTTTCACGGCTGGATTAAAAAATGGCAGCCAGCTGAGTTAATCATTGCTTCTTGACTTTAAATGGTATATAAAAACGGTCAGTGTGTGTGTGTGTGTGTGTGTGTGCGTGTGTGTGTGTGTGTGCGTGTGTGTATTATGAAGTGGGCGCCTGGCCATAAGTGTGTGTCGACTAATGGATACCCTCTAGCCAATTTAATGTACTCGTAATGTACTCACATGCTTCAATAATTATTGATCCGAACATTATTTCAGGGCTTGTCGAAATATCTCCATATGCCAAAAATCAATCAAAGCAATGCCTGCAAAAATATTAAAATATATAAAAATTTAAATAAGTGTATAAAATAAGTGTCTCAATGTTACTAATTGCCGATAGTTTTGGGTATTCTTTACATTTTGCACAGTACAAAATTGTCACAAAAATGTTATATTATATATATAATAATAAAATATATAATAAATAAATAAATAAAATAAAAATCTGAATAATGAATAAATTAATAATGAATATAAAATTGTATTTGGTAACTTTAAAATATGTTTAACTTTAAGAACAAATTGTTTTGAGATAGAGATATATGTAAGTGGAAAAAAAATTGATTTCCAAAATGAAATGAATCGCTGATGCAAAATCAATCTGAAGAACATGTCCAATACGGGTAAATACTCAACTTATTTTTAGCCAAGTTATGAGAGTAGAGAAATATGACATGGCCCAATCTATATTTGACAGGTTATGGCATTTGTTATGCATATGGAAATGTAGCTAAGGCTTTGCATAATCGCCCAGCTTTGGGCAGGCTAATTGCAGCCGTCTGTTGCTCCGGGGCCGACTGCACCAGGTGCAGCCGGCGCAGCAGGTATGCCAGGTACACGCAGCTAATGGATTTTTCCACGCCTAATTACCATTACTTAGCGAGACACAACAAGCCCAGTGGCAGCAACAAAAAATTACATTAAAAATTTGACATTCCTTTTTTTTTGTGCGCTTTTCGGCTTGTCACATGCTTATTTTAATTTTATAATTTTTTCTGGCCGAGGTGTGTGCGAAAATGCAAATGGAATTTCATAGTCACCATTAACACCTTTTTGCACAGTCGCCTGTTGGCTCTTACATTCTCGTTTCCATTCATTTCTTGTGGTCCTCGGACCGAGCTTCTCTACTCTGCGCATATTTTATGTGACGTCATGGCAAAAAAAAAAGAAAACAAAAGGAATAAAATATCTTAAAAAAATGAATTTAATTAAATGCCACACAAATGCGGCGCGAAACGTTTTCAGCGTGTGATATTTTACAGCGCGTTCCGCTTTTGGTCCTTTCAAGCGCTCTCCCCGCTCCCTTCGCCAGCCACCCCGCCCACAGCTCTCTCTGTGTCCAGTGTGCTTAAATGCTCGTTCATAACGCCCAGCATGAGAAGAGCGGGCGTGGCACATACGCTCTATTAGCAGGATTATAAATTTTATAGAGTTTTAAAATTGAAGTGCATGTGAAAAAGTATTGAAAGGAAAATAAATGAATGAAAGGAAAAGATGCAAAAAATCGAAACAAAGGAGTAAAAAAAAAAAAATTAATTTGAGAAAATTGACCGTGAAAAGCTTGATGACGTAGTAAAAAGGACTTTAATAAATAAATTAAAAGACGTTTTGAAGTATGAAAGTTGCAGTTGATAAAAAATGCACAAATCCATTAAAGAAAGACTAAGACAAGGACAAAAGGACATAAACTCTTATGGGATCTAATGGGGGATATATATAGAAAAAAAATTGGGATTGCGGATTTCAGATTATGGAAACTTTAGTAAGGTTTTATTTGCTCATTTTAGTTATGTTCTCTGTGTCTTAAGACAATAGGTATTATCTAGTTATATCTAAAACAAGTAAGACCCAACACCAACACCAAATGCATTTTAAGCATTTTAAACATTTTAAACAAATCAGCAATTCGATGTCGATTTAAGTTATCGATTATGGAAAACAAATTTGTACTAGCAGAAGCTACTTTCAAAATTTCGACCCTTAAAATGAATGATCAAGAATATATACTTTATACGTGCGGAGATTCTTCCTTCTGCCTGTAACGTACACTTGTACAAAAACTTTATTTTCATTTATTAGCCATTTTTAATGGGTTCAGGCTATAATGAACAGGAATAGAAAGTTTCCAGTAAAAACCCATTTGATTTATCTATACGGGAGATGGAGACTTTACTAGGGTAGACAAGTAAATCAGAAATTAACAGAGTTAGAATACATATTTAAGAAGGTTCTTCGAAAGAAGATTAGTTAACTTGGAATTAATAGACATTGAACAGGCAGGATCTTCAAATATAGATTAGTTAATTGAGAATTAATGGACTTTTCGAATATTAAATAAATATTAGCAAGATCTCACACTTGATTTCGATTACTTTTACTATGAAATAAAAATTGTAAAAACGTGTACAAGAAAAAGGTGGGATTGTAAGAACACAAGTAAGAATATTAAAAAAAAATGTGTAAGGACAACAAAATTATGATATGACAAAATAGGTAAATAAAGTTTCAGCATTGAAAAAGGCCAAAGGTTAAGGAAAACAAACTAGCACAAACTTTGGGGCAGAGAACTAATCTAAATGGCTATTCAAATGAAAACGTAAAGCCTACCAAACGTAAATGGTTAACACTTCCAAAATGTCAAATCAAAGGCTATGCATATATTCAGCTCAGACCGTCCATGAAACTTATTGTCGTTTCTAGTTACTAGACTCACTTCCTGTGCAGAATTATTTGGAAAATGTTGTTGAATGTAGCAGCCACCTTCGGGGCAAGTCAACAGCAACAACAACTGCAACTACAACAATGGAAGCTCAATCTGCAGAGCTTTAGACGTTTGTTTCCTGGCCTTCGAGCCATTCCGTTTGCTGCTTACTTTGTATTTAGGCATTGCAATACAATTTTTGGCACACAAAATGCAACGGAAATTGTTCGGTAGGTGAACAAAAAACCGAAAATTCGAACCAGAAACCAGAAACGAGAAACGAACGAATGAATTTGTCATTTTCAATTTTTTTTTCCTGATTTTTCCTCGTTTCTTTCTTTTTTTTTTTCTTTTTGTTTATGCCGCCTGGCTGACAAAATTGCAGCCTGAAAGTTTGTCTAACCAAAACGCACAACGAGCCACAGCAGTCCCTTCCGAGCCGCACCCTCGCCCGCAACCATCTTTTGCTAGCTTCAACTGTTTGCATACGTGCCCAATGTGCAATTGCCTGGGCGCTTCCCAATCATTGGCCGTCTTTGCCGCATTCTAGTTTGGCATTTGGGTTTGTTGAGTGTGCAACATGTAAGTGACACAATCGAAATGGAAAACGACATGCAACACGACACAGCTACAATTGCAGCAGCTGCCACTGCCGCTGCTGCTGCTGCTGCTGTTGCAACAGCAAACAGCTTGAGTTGGCAGCACAACAATTTCTTACCTTGCAGCCGCACGGAAATTGAAGTGTGAAATCTGCGGCAACTCTCTCTGACTGCAGGATTAGTCGAAGCCTGCACTCGTATGCCCCCGTGCCAAGCTCCACGCAGCAATTGTTGTTGCGGCCCGCGTGATTTTTGAGTGTTTGATCGCCAGACAGGCGTCAGATTATGCCAGCCCAAAAACCCTAAAGTGCAAAAAAAAAACGTGAAACCTAAAAAAAAGGAAAATGGAAACATTTGCGCACCAAGTGGGAATCAGGCGCAGACGAAGGAGCCTTCAAATGTCTCGTATGCAGCCGGCGGCAAATCCTGTGGGTCTACCAGTTGTTTACTTTGCAACGCGGCATTGCGGTGGGTTAGGCAAATGCAACTGGAGCGATCCACAGAATATAAAACAGACGACTATCAAATCCCCTACACACTACGTTCTCTCGTAAGCTCGAAAAATATATCAATAAAACTTACAAATGAAGCCTCTGAGAACATATTAGACAAACGGCTCTTACACAATTTCATCTTTGAATTTTCCACATACTTTACTCTTAAAGGTGATTTCAATGTGATGCTTCAAGAAAAAGTGCCAGATCGCATAGTTTCACACCTATTTTCACCTTTCTCGGTTAAATCAAGACTAAGACTAATTTTCCAAACATTTTTCACCCCTTGAGGTGATTTTAATGTTGCACTTAATCGCATATTTAAATATACATTTCAAAAAAGTTTATAACATTCATTTTAATTTTCACCTAGAAATATTAAATTTTGGTGAAATAGTGTTGTATGAAGCCACTTGTGTTTCCACCAATTTTTCACTCCTAGGCACAGATTGTGTGAGTATGTGGAAAGACATTTTGACTCAAAACTGTAGAAGCCGTTTCGATTCGAGTATTGTCTGACAGATCTTTCAGAACTAATTTGAAAACAATAGGTTACAAAACAAAGCTAATAACTAAAACAAAATTCCAGCCAATTTTCACCTTTATGTGTGAATTTAATCAAACTCTCATAATTAGTTTATTATGCGTACTTTTGAGTTGCCTTCAACTAGTTCAGCATATTCAAATGACATACCTAAGTGCAGTGTATGGACTTAATGCCTTATACCACAGACTACCAAGAACAGCTCATGTGTATCCCAAGCAACAACCGTGTGCTTGTACTCAGTGTTGTTTTATTTTTTTCTTCATATTGTTGTTGTTGTGTTTGCTGTGTTGCTCTTCCGGTTACGGTACATTGCACATACGCCGTGTGGTGCAGCGTATGTGCTTAGCTGGGCCACATTTTGCCTACGAAATTGCCAAGAATTTGTTGTGTCAATTGTGTGACTCTGGCTGTCTATATGCCTATGCGCCTGCCTGCCTGCCTGTCTGCCTATCTGTCTGTCTGTCTGCCTAGCTGGCAAATGTTTGCCTTACGCATTAAATTCAGTTAGACAAATTGGCAAAGAACTTAAAGCGAGCTGTGCACCAAAAATAAAAAGCCAAACAAAACAAAATAAAATAGAATTAAATAAAACAAGCAAAACAAACATAAGGAAGCCAACTCATCAAGTTTAGCCAAGTCTGCCAGTTGCACGTTACACGGGGCGTATGCGTAATTTGGCGGAAGCTGCAGTAAAAATCCAGCTGCAGATGTTGCGAAGCACGAAATTAATTACAACAATATACACACACACACACACATACACGAAAGAAAAACAACAAGAGCAGCGTCAAAATAATAATAATAATAATAAGTAAGAAAAATAAACTTTACACACACACAACCAGCGAGAGAAACCATAAAGAAGCATATGCTAAGGCAAGGCACTAAAACAAACCCAAGAAGGCAAGAAAACTTTGGCTACATTATCTGCGTGTTTGTTTGTTTATATACATATATATATACATATCTTTTTTTTATAGCTCTAAGCGAAATTTCTGAGCATAGTAAAAGTCTGCACCAAAATTGGAAGGTGCTGCCTTGGTCAGATCTATTACTGTCCAAATAACAAAATGCATCATTCCACAACGCAAACTGACATGTTCTACCCTTCAAGCTTACTTCAATTTATATTTGCAAAGAACAGCCCAACCTAATCCGTTGGCTTAAGAAAATATATATAAAAAATATTAAGTTTTTAAATAAAATAAATTAATTAAAAAGTATATACAATAAAGAACTTTAAAGAAAATATTACTTTGTAATTAAATATTTTTGTTTAAATTTGAAGCTTTTTCAAAAGAGCAGACGCCTCCAATTAAATGCATGCACATATGCTATGAGTGCACACTCATTAAATCCTAGATTGTGCCTTGTTTTCCATATGGAAATATTTGAAGCCCTTACAAGAGCATTAGAAACTTAACAATCTCTGTCAATATATCATCTTGTTAAATTTTCTTTGCGCTCGGCTTTTGTTGCCCGCCTTTTAAATATAAAATATATTGAAAGCGTCTTTAGGACTTTGAGTTGGAGTGAAGCTTGGGAGTTCGGTTACCTCTGCTGTGTGTGCGTGTGTGTGTTTGAAAGGCAGCAATTAGTGTTAAATAAAGAAGTCATAAAGTGTAAATAATATTTTTGGAAAAGAACAAATGAAAAGCAAGCAATAAGGATATATAATAAGTGAAGCACGTATGTGCATCTATGTATATGTATGTCTGCTGGCCATTATTTATGGCCAACATTGTTTGGCATTTAAAGTGAAAGGCTGGCCGACAGCTGGCAATCATTTTAAAGCATTTGTAAGCAATTAATTGTTTCATAAATATTGTAAACAATTTGCACCAACAACAACAACAACAACAACAGCAACAGCAACAAGAAAATTTATATGATTACAAGTTGATTTTTGCTGCAATGTCAAGTCTCGTTTTCAGTTTGATTTATGCCTCGCATGTTTGGCTCAATTTGTCAATTAATCAGTTTTAATGTCAAGCGAAATTGTTTTGAAGAAATTAATATTTGCAAGGAATAAATCATTTAGCCGACTTGTATACAAACCCAATTAAACATAAACTAATGTATTTAACTTAACTTAATTATTAATTCATTATGAATCGCACAAGAAATTTCTGAGTTCCCTTTTGAAGGGAGTTAAAAAACGAGTTTAATGCTTAGGCGTTACGTAAGGAGAAATTTGCATACAAATGTTTTCCGCGTTTTTTTCCACGCCTGCGAGTGGAATTCACCAAGCCCAGCATAAACTTGTGAGCAATTGCCAATTAGATAGTCAGAACCGGAAGTTTTATGAATACAGATTAAAATATGATATAATATAAATATCAAAACCTTGTATTACATAAGCTTTTCCTGTACAAATACTTGATGAGCAAACGCAAAACAAAACCCAACTTGATATTGATTTTTTAGGCCTGCTGCAATCAAGTTGCATGTGTCGACATAATGCGAGGAGATGGATTTGCCAAATGGAATTCACTTGTGCTCAAATAGGACATCGTTTGATAAACAAATTGTGACAACATTTTTTTTTTTTTTGTGGAACAAACAATGCGTTCTCTAATAAATATGCTCAGCGCATGCGAGAAATAAAATGAATTTACGACATTCGAACAAATAAAATATGAGACTGTGAGTGAAATTTTAACTTATGTAACTGGCAGGAGACCGGCAGGAGATCGCATGCATAGTCAACATTGGTGCTAGGCACTAGAGAAGCATTCGTTCGAGTGTCCCCAGACAGCCACAGGAACAGGAGTAGGAGGAGAAGCAGGAGCAGCTGAAGCAGAGGCATGTTGAGGACAATTTCTAGTGGGAATCACGTAACGAAGTGCATTGTTAAAATATAATAAAATCGCAATTTTGCGTTCATGTTGCAATGTGGCGTCATATCCTTTTTCCTTTAATTTTTCACGATTGCGCCGTTTCGTAGTTCCGAAAACCGAAATCGTGGGAGAGACTGAGAGTGCGGGAAAAGGGAGGCAGAGTGGGTGGTTAGCGGATGGAACTGCTAGCCAGTGCATTTCTACGCCCCCTCCGTGCTCCCGCGTGCAGTTCATAATGGGTCTGCGACGCCGTCTCCATCTCAGTCTTCAATTCAGGCTTGAGCATTACGAGTACTGGGCGGAGGTTTGTGTGTGTTTATGTGTGTGTGTGTGTGTGGGTGGGAGGAGGGGTCACTAACGGCGCTCTCTATGCACACTCCATAGATTTTAATGCAATTTTCTACGGGTTTTTATATGTTTTTATTTCGCTGTTGTCATTGTCGCAGCTGCCAAAGCCTTTGTTCTTGCCGAGATCCGATGCCGTGGCGACCGCTGGCCGCTTCGCTGAGTTTGTTGGGACGGGCTCGGGGTAGTTCTCTGGGGTAGTCTGGGGGTTAGTTTGTTGGGGCTTGCCTCGGTTTGCTGAGTTGTTTGGACGATGTATCCGCTTGAAGTTTCTCAAGCGCCCCATCTATATACATTTCTGCACTCAATTGTCCTTCAGTGCATTTTGCGGTTTGCTTCGGCTTTTTAGTTTGCGTTCTTTGGGTCTTGCAGCTCCCTCTCTCTGTCCCTCTCTCTCTCTCTCTTTCTCTTTCTTTTGGCCACGTTGTAAAATATAATGCCTTTGTTTGTTCGCGCTATAAAAAATTATTACTTTAATTTCCGTGCACATAAAAAGCACGTCTAACATGAGAAATGGCTGTCATTGTGGCACTTTCTTTCACTTATTTCCTGTTCCATTATTCTTTTTTCATCTTTTTATTTAGTTGCCATTGCCCATAGATCAGTCCAATAAATGCATTACGATATATATATATATATTCTATAGAGTTAAGTACGATATGCAGCCAGATAAAATATATGTATATATAAAATATATCTGAACTCACTCTCCAGCACCTGCTTGCCAAAATGTCAGAAGTTATAGCCCTGTAACGATTTGTTTGTTATGAAATGGGCGAAACCGGAAAGAACTTTAAAGTATGATTATTTTCTCAGATCAACCATTCTGAATTTAGTCTTAAATTGTGATCATTTTTCTGTACTTTAATATTGATGTTGGCTTTTTTTGAAATGAATGACAAAAAATGTCGAAAATATATTTCTTTCAGTATTTTTTCATTTTCCGAATGATGACAAAAATATGTTTGTGATAGCATAAATATGAAGGCAAAAAAAAACGACACTTGTCTTCAGCATTGTCCTTTTTGGTCCTTCTCCTGCTGCGTTCAACGTTCGGACTCTGTTTTGTGTCAAACCGCATGGGCCAAAAACAGAAGTCAGACCCAGGCCCAGGCTGCGGCTTGTGGGTCGTGGATCCCAGCCCCCCCTCGCTTGGTTTGCTGCTAAGCGAAAAGTTTATAGACCAAATTGTTTTCACCTGCTGTCCCAAATTTATAACACCTCTCGGCTGGCCTTTATTTTTATTTGTATAATCCTTTCGCTTATGGCACGCCCCCCCCTCAAACGCCCACCAGCTTTTGCACATGACAGAAACCAGGCATTGGAATTTGCGAGCTCGCCAGCTTCGGATTAGTGGAAAGACAAAAACTCAAGCCAACGAATTCTCAGCTCAACCTATGCAAAAAGCAAAAAACCAAAAAAAAAAGAACAGCCCAGCACAGTGGTCGAAAAGTGCGTTTCTTTTAGCTGCTTTGCGTTTTTATGGCCATTTCTCGTACTTTGCATAATGTTTGTTCGGCCAATTTTTACTGCCCGGGCCAGGCCTTAAGGCTATAATAGCCGCAACACTTGTTGTTGCTCAACCCCCCCCCCCCCCCCCCTTCGCTCACCCAGCCACAGCTCTTCAGCATTTCTGATGAGTCGGCGCTCGAGAAAAACATTTTTCAATGGTCTCATTAAACGACCAGAAATTATATTAAATTTGCCAAAAATTCAGCTGCATAAAAAAGTTGTAAATATTTTTATGCCTGCATTAATATGCAACGTCAACCACTGTGGCCCCAGGTGGGGGCAGAGTTGGAGGGTGTCCCCGTGCACATCCCCGTCCCCGTCGCTGTCGCTGTCGCTGCTAATACCACCGCTAATAAAATCTTACTGCCGTAGCGTCGCAGAGCCATGAAGCACAGCTGTGTGCAGTCATTTTTACTGCTGCAGTAGGAAATGGCAATGCCAAAGGCAAAAGACGATGGAAAGGACGGCAAAAGGCCAAAAGGGAAGTGTGCGACGCTGCTGTCTTCGCCTCCATTGTGGGCGTTGTATTGGTGTGAACTAGTTCATAGATTGCACTGAATGGAACTGGTTAGCTCTATTAAGCGTATTGTTCGATTTATGATTAGCCGGAACTTAAAGTTCTTTCAAGACAAAAGTCTCACGAATCAAAACGCTAGCAACTATTCGATTGTTCACTTCTTAATGAAGCTATTCTTTGGAGCTACATATTCTAGCCAAATGTGGAATACAAGTTAAGATAACAATAAACTATATAATAATAATAACAATTAAACATTGACAATTTAAATAAGCGTGTCTTGTTATAGGCCAAATTGCTGGCCGATTCTTGGCAAAATTAAAAATATATTATAATACAACATAATATATATATTTATATAAAAGATGATAATAATAATAATTTTTAAGCTCTTATATCTTTCGAAGATTTTTAATTGGTTTAGAAATTTGATCCTGGGAACGAAAGCTTTAAGACAGCTATAGTTTATTAACCTATCTATCTATTGAAGGAAATGCTAATATATGGCTATGTTCTTTGCTTATTTTCATTTCAATGAACTAGTTCGCAATTCTATCTAAGGATTGCATATTACCCTTTACTTAGCTGATTGTACCAACTGATGGAATTTTATTTATGGAACTACATAGTTAGAATTTTCTACGTGGATTTTGTTTTCCAAGCTGTTGTACTATATGATGGTTGAGCTACACCAAGAAAGTGGTTATAGCTGTCTTGTACAATCCTTGCATTAGCCACACACGGTAATTTAAGATCAATTATCTTTTTATCTATCTCACAGGTCTTACAAATAATATATGTTCTTAATTTCAGTTCTGTGAATTTCATGTTTTAACTGGTTCTGTTCTAGTTCGTTGAATCAGTTCAGATTGGGTTCTTGTTTCTCCGACTCAACTATTAAAAGTACTCCGCATATCCTCATAACCTTCAAGCTATTATCTCGCTCCGATTAGGTGTGTGTGTATGTGTGTGTGTGTGTGTGCGTGTGTGTGATGGTGTGACCCCAGGCAAGGAATTAGCCGATTATGACCATCTGGATAATAACATTTTGAGCACACCCTCAACATGTCCTCTGCCGTGTGTCCTTGTCTTTGTCGTTGTTTGTTGATCTACCGTTTCATTTAAATACAAATTAAAAGATGACAACGTTGTTTTTGTGGTCTTTCTTGTTGTTGTTGTTGTCGTTGCTGTTGCGGTTGCCGTTTAACGTTTACATCTAATGAAACTTTATGACGACCACTTGGCCGGAGGGGCACAGGTCATTGGGCAGGTCGAACGACTTGGGCCACACCTTTAAGTGGATGCCTGCCCAACCTGTCCGCGGTTTTTCTTCACTAATTTGCCGGCCAATTTACATAAAGGCCGCGCTGCCAACGTTGTTAGCCAACGTAATTTCTCGATATACATATTTCGAGCAGAAAAAAAAAAAAAAACAAAAAGCGCACAAAAATAAAATTAAGAAAATATGAAAAACGGAAAGAAAGACTATCTTCTAAATATCGAAGAGTTAATACCCTTGCAGGCAATTGCTATGATATCGGAATTAGTTTTTTTTAATAGTAATTTTCCCTAGTTTGGGGATTTTACTATATTTCAATATATTTAAAAAGAAAAGTCCATTTCAATTCGTTTCCGTTTTTGAATACTGGAATTCTTCCAGGTGATTTCGCATCAATTTGGAAATATTTTCGCATCATTTTTATTTCTAAGAATTGTATATATGTGTTACAAAAATTGTTATAAAAATATAATACCCTGAGCAAGGATATAAAAAAGTAAATGCTTTGGGCTTTTGCCTGCTGAATAACTTGATTAAATTAGTGGTGATATCGGGGAACGGGTGGCATGGGGCGGCGTCTAATGACAGGCAGCTGCATTTTAGTGCTTACTCTGCGTACTCGATGCCAGAGTCTAAGTAGATTTGCCGTACTCGATGCCTGACAGCTGTATGCCTTTGCATCTCGAGTTTTGAGTTGTAATTCGAGGATTTATTTATGCATAAAATGCAAACAAAATCTGAATAATTACCAACAATGGCCTAACCGACTGACTGACTGACAGCCAAGCAAAAGCCAGAACAATAGACAAAACGAGAGAGCAACAGAAAGAGAAAGAGAGAGCAGAAGAGACAGAGGCGACTCAAAAATATGCATTTTCGGCATTTGGCCTGTCAAAGTACTCTCATATATGAGGTAAAATAATATTTTGCGAATATGAATACGAGTCTGGCATATAACTGACAACTGTTCGCTACTATATGTCAGGAAGCAGAAGAAGAAGCAGTAACTGACGTAATTTAGACAGCAGCACAAATCAAATATGTGGGCGTGGCAGGCGAGTCATGAATGAAGGGCATAATTGCAAAATAATATTTGGTATAAGGATTGAAAATTAGCACGATAAAACAGAAAGGTATAGGTATAGGTATAGGTATAGGTATAGGTATAGGTATAGGTACAGGTATAGGTACAGGTATAGGTATAGGTATAGGTATAGGTATAGGTATAGGTATAGGTATAGGTATAGGTATAGGTATAGGTATAGGTATAGGTATCTATATCCGAGTAAGCTCCCAACTAAATCCTGACTGAGAACCTTCACTTGATAATATACTCTCCCTGAACCAGCTGCAAGTAAATATCCTGCCCACTTACTTAGGGTATTATACCCAACAAATGACTCCCCCTTAATCCAACGACCTCAAAAGACCCCGAAGAGCAACTGGAAGTGCATTATGAGAGCACAGTAATAATTCTCTAAATAATACGTTTTGCATTTAAAATACGATATTGTTTGATTGCCCTGAAACGTTGGGGGGTTAGCTTACAGGCTTAAGGATCTGAAGCTCTAATCCTTGGCAGAAGCAATTCGTTTCCGCTTTTGGCCATTAAACACGTCAATAATCGCACTCGCCTTGGGGACGCAAGTTGTCATCGTTGGGGCTCCAGCTAACAATTAACAATTAAAACCCCAAAGAGCACAACTCAATTTTAGACAGCACGAACTGGCACACACACACACACATACACACAGTCGCACCCACGCACCCACACATACAGACAAAGGCAATTTCATATAGTTATGTATATACGAGAGATAGCTGTTGTCGATAGCAAACCGCAAGAACAAGAAGAAGAGCAAGAAGCGGACCAACAACAACAACAGCATTGGCCACTGTGAAAACTCCGAAGCGAGGCGAAGTTCTGCGCACTTACAACTAAAAACTTGTTACGTATTTAATTGCAATTAAAAAGTTGTTTGTAGTTGCGAATGTTGCGTTTTGTGTGCTCGTTGTTGTTATTGTTGTTGTTGCCATTATAATACCCTGTAGCCATTGAAAGATGCATAAGGTGTTTGTGTGTCCAGCAACAGCAGGCGAAAGCCTTCAAGTAACCACAGTATAAGCGGACAGTCACGGTTTGTTGTTTCAATTATGGAAGATGTCCGTTTTTGAAAACGCATTTCGTATGGAAAATACATTTTAAACGGTTTTCGAGATTGGACCAATTACCAATTACCCTATTAATACAACTAGAAGCTGGCGACAGGGTATCTGCCAATCGAGCAGTCTCCACCAAAGCACTTTTACTTCTTATAATTATTGTTGTTGTTGCTGTTGCTGGTAGACACCAGGGCAATGGGCAATGCGAGCGCTGCCAAATTGTCCTCACACTGAGAGTAAGAGCCACAAAGATGAAGTCATTACCAGCCAAACCGAAATTGGCGCAGAGAGCAGCCAAAGGGTTTGCGCTTAATGAGTTTGATGCGGTACACGGAGGACGGGAATGTGGGATGGAAACTTGGTGCCAGCCCAAGCAAGAGACCGCACACAACACAGAGCATTCGATATGGCAACGACTCAGATTTTGGGCGATAACACTC